CATGGTATATGTTTGAAGGGCAATTCTAAAGTAGTTCAGGACCTACACAGCAAGTTCTAATTCCTAAATTTGTTGATATGATAAAGGGCACAAGTAAGTAAATAATTAAGTATGACAAAACTTAAGAACATAGTAAACATCTGAAGAAAGCACTTGTGGTAAAAGGCAGCAAAGTGATGCAGTGTGAACAGAAACCTAAAGTGCATATTTCTACAACTTCACACCAGAATGAAGGCGGAGGGTGGGTGTACAACAGAATGTGTGCCAGGAGTGGAAAACAGGGCAGAGAAAAGGAGGGAATATTGGAGGGAGGTATCCAAATGCATGCTCAGTAAACAGAGATTGAGGGTTCGGGTCCAGATGGCAGCTGTTAACTCTGCTCACACGCACAGCTGATTAAAAACACATTGCGCTGTGCTCCACACTTACCCATAAACACACGCACACTTCAGCGGATAAAACTTAGTTACATGGGCAGCGAGTCAGACTACATGAACATGTAAGCATTCCTTAGAGACATTAAAAATTGTGCCTCTTTAGACATTCAAAGTAAAGACATTCAAAGTCTCCTAAAACAGATATAAGAAGGATGTCCAAGATGAGATAAAAGATGAAATCCTTCAAAAAGCAAGCTCAAAACACAAGATCAACTTCTTTGAATTTATATCAGTTTCATATATTTTAAAAAAACATTTCTACAAAAATCCAATAACTACAAAAATGCCAAATGGTGTAACTATCATCAGGCAAAAAATACTCAAATATTTTCTTTCCACCTTAAATAAACTAGTGTCCACAACTTACTATTTTAATAATAATTCAAACGTATTTGTCAATGTAAAAAAAAAAAAGACCCATTAATATAGAGAGGTGTCCTTAAGATTTCTCAAAAATCATTCCTTATTATTAAAGGTGAAAATGTGTAATTTTTAAACCAACTTAATAACCTATACACACCATGAATGTCCTTTCTGTTGATGGGTTTTTAGTCACGTGACAACAAAATGGCTTCAGTTGCTGATTTGCGAGATAAGTTTTTTATGTTAATAATATTTTAAAGCAAAATTGCTTAACTGCACACTTTAAAGAAATAATAATAACAATGAGCCAAAATATGCCAGTTTAAAAAAAATCTTTAAAATATCAGAAATTACTTTTAATTCAGAAACTGAAAAAGTTGCTTTTTGTCTGAATCGCATGAAAAAAACATTGTCGTCACGTCGTTGACCAATTTATTATAAACTTGTAAAATATATTTATATTCATTTATAATGTGCATATTCTGTAGGATTCTGATATAATTAATGAAACGCTAATTATTTATCCAAAGCTAGCTTAATTTACTTGTTATAAATACAGCGCCCTAAAGCAAACTGACTGCTCACGGGGACAACGGTGATAAATGATGTTACGCTTCGCGGTTTTTAGACCTAGAACATCGGTTTCCAGCCCAGACCTACGAGCACCATCCCAGTATGCATAGCTTCGCCACTCTTTCCATCTTTCCTCGGACCGCTCATACCGGCTGGCTCACGGTGCGTCTGGCCGCTGTCGGTGTCTTCTGGGCCGCAGCAGCTCTGGCGCGGCGGATCCTCCTCGAACACGAGCTTGAACTCGAACTCTCCCTCTTCCCATCCCGAGCCCGGCGCGGCCCCCATCTCTCAATCCGAGAGAAGTACGACCGAGACCGGCTACAGATATATCACTGACCCTCTCTCACTTCTCAGTATCGGCTCCGCTTAAAACTCATGGGAGTCATACAGCTTCTCCAGAATGTCACTTTGCACGATCCGCTTTCTCCTTCGTGCGCCTTCCTTTTATTACACTTAAGAATTAAAAGTTATCCTCAAGCTTAAGTATCACAGTTGCATGGATCATTTTCTTTTTCTCCGCATCGCTCTTGCAGTTTATCAGCTGCTCATCTCTTTCTTGAACTTTTTTTCTTCCCAGTAGATTCGCTTGCGATTTCCGTGACAGTCTGTTATTATAATTTCATCTCACGAACTTCCATCGTTCAGAACCGGCCATGTTCACAGCCTCAAGTCCCTCATACGTTCACGTTCAATAACAAATATCCGTTGAATTTAAATTCATACCATAACTCCTCCACTGCCATAGAACCAAAAAGTTATATCAAGTTCTTTTTCGTTCTTTACCCTTAATTACCTTTGGGCGGGTTCTTCAGTGCCGTTACTCTCTCCCTATTGGCTGTCTGACTTGTCAATCAACAGACCCCCTCTTTCTTAGCTTTACGTACATGCCCGCTTTTGCTGCAAAGTGTGTTGATTGGCCAGTGAGCACAACTACATATTTTAGAGTGAAGTATAACTTTATGATACCCACAAGAATCGATTCCAACACACATTTTTTAAAGCAGAAACACTTTCTCTTCTGTCCAATAGAGAATTCCCTGGACAGACACCAGTGAAAGCCTTGTCTGGCAAACAGGTTCTGAGAAAAACATATTTCATTCGTTTTCCACATGCTTAAGACAGTGGCTATTTTTGTTTCAGACAAGACACTGATGCTGAAGGCTGATCCATCCGTGACGCCATAACGACAGTCATTCCCTTTCTCTCTTCCCATCATACTTTTCCCCTACTTTGTCCCTCCCCTTCCTTCTTTCTCCCCAACTCTTTATCCCAGTTCTCCCTCCTTTCCCTCCCCCTGTAAGATCTGTTTCTCATTATCCTCTGTAGTCTGCACTCTGTCTGAGACGGGAGATGAAAAACTTAAATAAACATGTTCTCTCTCTCTCTCTCTCTCTCTCTCTCTCTCTCTCTCTTCCTCCTCCTCCTCTCTGACAATTCTCACAATTATTATCTTTTGTCTTATTTTAAAGCTCGTCTCGTGTTTGATGCTTGGAAGTGAGCTTTCCATGGCATCTGTTGCTTGATAAAGTTGATTCACAAAGGCATCCGTCAGGAATTCATCAGTGCTGGAATTACATTCCCATTTAATTTAGTGATGTGAACAGCCATAATTCTGAACACATAAAGAAAATGAGCCTTTTTGAAATTGGATCTCATGGTCTTAAGCACAGGGCTTGATTACGAGGCTGCACATTTCATCAAATTATAAAAATATCAGAGTATCTACAGTTATGCGTGAGCTTCTCATCAGCAGCAATCTGTGCTGTCTTTATATACACTAGACAAAAATCACATTTATGCAAGAATGTTGCCATCCTGTGGACAACAAAGATAGCTAGTATGTTTAGTTCCCACACAGCCTCCAGTCACGTCACAATGACATATATGCAAATCTGAGTTACTATAAACTTCATGCAAAGCAATGATTAAGCTGCACTTTGGTGAACATGAGAGTTTGGAGAAGCTTATGTTACTCATGGGAATCAGGTCACTGAATAATGACCCAGAGGTCAGAAATAAGGAAGTGGATTTTCTCGCTAAGTTTTCCTCTCCCTCTCTCTCCATCTCTCTCTCTCCCACAAAAATGTCTTATATATATAACAGTAGTTTCCCATTTGGAGCATGGATAGAATGTGTAATATTTTTAATAATGGACACTGATAGACATGATGACTCATGCAATGAGTTTGTGTGTGAAAATACAATTCCCTATTCACTGACATCCTTTTACTAGATATACTGTAAAAAAACAAAGGTTCTAATGCCATATATGAACTATTCTGCATTTCCCAAAGAATCTTTCAGTGAACAGTTTTTAAAGTCTGAAGAACATTTGAACCTTATAAAGCCTATACTAACTGTATCAGATTTGGTGTGTACATTTCTAAAGCCTCTAAGTTAGCATCATGATTAAAACTTGTACACAATCTTCAACATGCCTTCTTTCATGTGATCGGTAGTTCATACGTTTTTTTAGAAAGTAAAAGGCCTTTTAGTATAATTCTAAATGTCCTACACATGTCTTTTTGCTGTGAAATCTTTATTGATTTTTGTTAAGTAACAGTAAGAAGAACTTTTCTATTGTTAGTAATATTTCATTATATATAGATTTATCTTATTTTTCATGTTAAAATGTGAGAATCAAATATGATACATTGAGCATATTTTAAGGAACATTTATTTGTATCCCTCAGTAATAATTGTATTGCATGTTTGGATCTTTTAGCCCCCACAAATAAAACTACAGAGCTTTGATCACAAAACTAAGCATTTAAATATAATCTTACTAAGACATATTACTGGGACATATAGAGGCTTCTGAATAAAAAGTGATTTTTTTTCACTTAAGCTTCACATTCATCTATATGAGCAATAAAATATGATGTATCAAATATGATATTTAACAAAAAATACATATGCAAAAGTCAATTTTTTAAAACCATTTTTCTGACTATTATTTCATATTTCAATCTTTACAGGGTTAATAATTTAAATAATCTTTTTAAAGCGATGGAACATGGATGGAACCATAATGCCAATAAAAATAGTGCTGAAAGTGCCATATAGCACACAATTTCTTGGATGAACCTGACTCTTGTGTCCTTCTTTGCCCTTCTATTTAAAATTCTTCTGAGAACCAAGAGAATAATGTACTTTACAAATAAGTATGGCTTCAAAAGACGTGGAATAATGAAGATGAGTTATGGACCAGTTTTATGATACTTTTATCCTTTAATTTAGGAGCCTAACAGTACCCATCCCTATTCATTATAGAGAAAAAAAACATTCTTCAAAGTTTCTCCTGCTGTGTTCCACAGAGGAAAGAAAGTCATTATGGAACATGATGGTGAGTAAATGATGCTTGAATTTTTAACTATTCCTTACATAAACCGAGAAAGTTGTATAGTAATCTATGATAGAGATCTATAAGATAAGTTGGTAAGAGCAGGTAGAAGAAACGTGGGTGTGTGCAGAAGTGTGGAACTGTGTCACACACCACACCTTCCTATATTCTCCTTGCATGCTGTAGCCTGCAGGTAAGAAAAAAGAAACTTGTACTTTTGTTAAAGGAAAAAGACATAGAGAAATTGGTGTGTTGAAATATTAGGGAGGAGGAAGGATGGGGGGTGGAGTAAACATGAACATGAATCTAGTAGTTTAGAGACAGAAAGAAGCAGTTGGATATTTATAAGTGTGCTTGATTAATATAGTAGCCCATATAAATAGATTTTCTGTGATATCATCGAAAAAACAAGAACTTACGAAATGTTTACGAAACTATTTTAAAGTTTATCTGAGACAGTGGAAAGAAAAAGAGAGACCAACTTGGAGACCACACAACCTAACCAGCTCCATCTGGTCACTTCAGGGGGAACACAGTTCAGCCATTCGGATCTAATCAAGTGTATTGGTGAGTTACAAAAAAACTCTTTGTTTTTGTTCTTGTTTTGTTCCTTTATTTGTCTCTTTCATCATTTCCCAGTTGTCTAATTTTAATAAACCCATCCTTACAGAAATACCTGACAGTCTTTCCACTTATTTCTCATAATCAGCCCATTTTTCCATCACCCACTCTCTGTGATCACTCTCTGTTGATGCAACTGTGTCCAGTTTCTCAATTTCAAACATCTTTGAGGCTCTGAGGTCGGCATTGTGTGTAATCAGGGATGACTTTTGTGACAGCATTGCAGACTGGACAATCTTATCTTTTTGCATACTGATTACAATACTGATTCACTACAACCTGTTCACTATGGTTCAGTTGTGACTACCGTACTTTATCTGTTTCTTTCAACTCCTTGCTTTATTTGTGGTCTTTTAACTTAACTTTAATATTTAATGTTTATTCTTTAATGTGGTCTTTTTTCTTGACAATTGCTGTAATAAAATAAACTGATAACACTTTAGTATAGGGACCAATTCTCACTATTAACTAGTTGCTTATTAGCATGCCTATTATCAACGTATTGGCTGTTTATTTAGGGGGAAGTCGTGGCCTAATGGTTAGAGAGTCGGACTCATAACCCAAAAGGTTGCGGGTTCGAGTCTCGTACCGGCAGGGATAGTAGGTGGGTGGGAGTGCATGAACAGCGCTCTCTCCCACCTTCAATACCACGACTGAGGTGCCCTTGAGCAAGGCACCGAACCCCCAACTGCTCCACGGGTGCCGCAGCATAAATGGCTGCCCACTGCTCCGGGTGTGTGTTCACGGTTTGTGTGTGTTCACTGCTGTGTGTGTGCACTTTGGATGGGTAAATGCAGAGCACTAATTCCGAGTATGGGTCACCATACTTGGCCACATGTCACTTCACTTTTATTAGCATTTTTAGGGTAGTCGTGGCCTAATGGTTAGAGAGTAACCCAAAGGTCGCGGGTTCGAGTCTTGGTACCGGCAGGGATTGTAGGTGGGGGGAGTGAATGTCCAGTGCTCTCTCCCCCCTCAGTACCATGACTGAGGTGAGACCCTTGAGCAAGGCATTGAACACCCAACTGCTCCCCGGGCATCTGCAGCTTGGCACTGCTCTGGGTGTGCACTTGGATGGGTTAAATGCAGAGCACAAATTCCAAGTATGGGACACCATACTTGGCCACAGGTCATGTCCTTTCCTTTCTGCATGACCATATTCTATAGATCCCTAATCCTAAACTTAACAACTGCCTTACAAACTATTAATAAGCAGCAATTTAGGATCTTATTGAGGCAAAAGTCCTAGTTAATGGTTTGTTAATGGCGAGAATTGGACTTTAAAATAAAATGTGACAAATTATCTTAATAAAATTGGAAGTAAAATTAGTTTCTTTCCAGATGAGGGTGAGTGTGAGGATATGATCAGTGATATTACAGCAGCAGCGGCATTCCAAGTAGTTGAGCTCAAGATCACTCAGCAAGTTGTAGCACGTTGTTTTTCTTTTTCTTTTCACTGATGGGAGATTACTGGTGAAATATTTACATGGTTGCTGAGAGCCCATCCTTGATACTGGCTCACACTTTATTTGCCTCTGAAGGAAATATTATAAAAGGAAAGTTCACTGTAAAAATGATTTTTCAAATTTGTTATATTATTGGAAAATGTTTTACAAGAAAATACTATTTCAGTCTTCATTTCAGTACTTTGACAAAATTTCATGTTTAACTTAATGTGTAACTCACCATTTCTATAAAGGGGTCCTATTATGCTCTTTTAGAAAGTCTTGATTTTGTTTTGGGGGTGTACTAGAACAGGCTCTCATACTAGGTTGTTCGAGATTATTTTTCACATATTTTACATTATTACAACACAGTTGTGTTGATCAACACAGATCTCCTCAGTCTGGCATGAAGGGCTGGAATAGTTCCTGTATCAAATTAAAAAATATCTCCTTTTGAAGTGGACTTTGAGCTTTGTAACTTTGCAGAACTTTTTTATGCATTCCGAGTATGGGTCACCATACTTGGCCACATGTCACTTCACTTTTATTAGCATTTTTAGGGTAGTCGTGGCCTAATGGTTAGAGAGTAACCCAAAGGTCGCGGGTTCGAGTCTTGGTACCGGCAGGGGTTGTAGGTGGGGGGAGTGAATGTCCAGTGCTCTCTCCCCCCTCAGTACCATGACTGAGGTGAGACCCTTGAGCAAGGCATTGAACACCCAACTGCTCCCCGGGCACCGCAGCTTGGCTCTGCAGCTTGGCACTGCTCTGGGTGTGCACTTGGATGGGTTAAATGCAGAGCACAAATTCCAAGTATGGGACACCATACTTGGCCACAGGTCATGTCCTTTCCTTTCTGCATGACCATATTCTATAGATCCCTAATCCTAAACTTAACAACTGCCTTACAAACTATTAATAAGCAGCAATTTAGGATCTTATTGAGGCAAAAGTCCTAGTTAATGGTTTGTTAATGGCGAGAATTGGACTTTAAAATAAAATGTGACAAATTATCTTAATAAAATTGGAAGTAAAATTAGTTTCTTTCCAGATGAGGGTGAGTGTGAGGATATGATCAGTGATATTACAGCAGCAGCGGCATTCCAAGTAGTTGAGCTCAAGATCACTCAGCAAGTTGTAGCACGTTGTTTTTCTTTTTCTTTTCACTGATGGGAGATTACTGGTGAAATATTTACATGGTTGCTGAGAGCCCATCCTTGATACTGGCTCACACTTTATTTGCCTCTGAAGGAAATATTATAAAAGGAAAGTTCACTGTAAAAATGATTTTTCAAATTTGTTATATTATTGGAAAATGTTTTACAAGAAAATACTATTTCAGTCTTCATTTCAGTACTTTGACAAAATTTCATGTTTAACTTAATGTGTAACTCACCATTTCTATAAAGGGGTCCTATTATGCTCTTTTAGAAAGTCTTGATTTTGTTTTGGGGGTGTACTAGAACAGGCTCTCATACTAGGTTGTTCGAGATTATTTTTCACATATTTTACATTATTACAACACAGTTGTGTTGATCAACACAGATCTCCTCAGTCTGGCATGAAGGGCTGGAATAGTTCCTGTATCAAATTAAAAAATATCTCCTTTTGAAGTGGACTTTGAGCTTTGTAACTTTGCAGAACTTTTTTATGCTCAAACAGCAACATTACAGACTAACTAAAGTCTTGATTTTGTTTTGGGGGTGTACTAGAACAGGCTCTCATACTAGGTTGTTCGAAAAACACATTATTTTTCACATATTTTACATTATTACAACACAGTTGTGTTGATCAACACAGATCTCCTCAGTCTGGCATGAAGGGCTGGAATAGTTCCTGTATCAAATGAAAAAATATCTCCTTTTGAAGTGGACTTTGAGCTTTGTAACTTTGCAGAACTTTTTTATGCTCAAACAGCAACATTACAGACTAACTAAAGTTGAAAAAGTGAAAAAGCATAATAGCACCCCTTTTAATTATTTGTGAAATTAATCAGTTTATCCTATTTTCCCTATTTACTTTCAGTGAAAAGTTAATCCTACAGCAGTTTTTGATTCAGTATATAAAAACATTAACAGGTGACATGACTTCCCTTCTGAAAAAATTAAATTAAATTGAATTAAATTATTCATCCATCCATCCATCCATTCAGGGTTAGGGATATAAAAGCATTTTACATCAGCTTCAAATAACGTTGTTTTCTGATTCCACCAGTTTTTCTGACGCCTTCTTGATAATGGGATCAGATAATGGGACTAGCTCCTTGGAGAACGTGACAAACAGTAACAGCATTGTGAGTAACAATATCTCTGTTACCTTTGGGGCCCTCATCCTCAGCATCGTCTTCCTCCTGGGTGTTCCTGGCAACCTCTTCATTATCTGGAGCATCCTGGCACGTGCCCGCAAACGCTCTGTCACTACCCTGCTCATCCTCAACCTGGCTTGTGCAGACGGTTGTCTGATGTGTCTGACGATTTTCTTTATAATATACCTAGCCAAGCAGAACTGGATATTTGGAACAGTCATGTGCAAGCTGCTTTTTTACTTGTGCAATACAAACATGTATGCTTCTATTATGATCATTACACTGATGAGTCTACACAGACTAGTGGCAGTGATGTGGCCCACATACTTGACCGCCTGCACTCGTAGACGGACAGTATTACTTGTGCTTGGGGGCCTGTGGATTGTCGTATTTCTTTTGGCACTTCCTGCTTTAATATTCAGACGAACAGAGAAGAATTACAATGGGAAGGAACGCACTGTGTGTGCAACTCATCACGAGCATCCACAGCATGTGAGTGTCTTTGCTCCACTAATACTTGAGAGTAACACTGTATATCAAACTACTCAGCGTTATACTTCATATATCTCATATCATACCACAGACTTGCCCTTGTTTCATATAATCCAACTTTAAAAAATATATATATATCAAGGTATATAAATTATTTAGGTATTTTAAAAATATATATTTTTATTAACCATTTCAATTTAATTATTAATATACTGACAGCCCCAGTTTCTGTTATTAAAAATATCATAATTAAATACTTAATAATTATAGCTTATATAAGGGGACTTTGAATATTGTGTTGGACAGCTGGAGGCCACAGACTTGCCCTTGTTTCATATAATCCAACTTTAAAAAAAATATATATATATCAAGGTATAAATTATTTAGGTATTTTAAAAATATATATTTTTATTAACCATTTCAATTTAATTATTAATATACTGACAGCCCCAGTTTCTGTTATTAAAAATATCATAATTAAATACTTAATAATTATAGCTTATATAAGGGGACTTTGAATATTGTGTTGGACAGCTGGAGGCTTTTAAGTAGCACAAAAATTAATCTTGGACAATAAATTGGATTCTTTTGCATGTTCGTATTGTGACTGATACTGTTGGTAATAAACAGGTCAACAATTTCATCCAAAGGGAAAGCAGCCTAAAGACCGTTTTTTTTTAAAAATTTGCTTTAATTATAAATTAGCTATATGCAGCTTGCTTTCATTTTAAATTAGCCTTCAAGTTTACAAACTGCCGATACAGAATTACCCCCATTTGAAGACTGCATTGCAGTTACACATTCATTGGAATAACCATGGTAAATCCAGACTTGCATTGTGTATATATATATATAAAATCTTTGCATTACCTCTTGTGAATTTGTACAAAGATTGCATTTATACTTAAAACACCAGTGTATACATTTACAGGACTGGAATTATTTATTATTATTATTATAGTCATATTGTGAATTCACTTTTTGAAACTACAAACTCGTGCAGGAATCACCTGGTCCCTCATTGGAAATATTTAAAACAATTAAGTTGTTTAAAAACCATTTATACATAAAAGCTACTAAAGCAGTCACACACAAAAGGAAACACCAATCTCTTTTTATAGCAGACTTTAAAATTCATTGCTTGCACACAATCCACAACATGAATCAGCCATGTATTTTAAAATGAGAATTTATTGTAGCGGTTTCAAATCATTACATCACTGACTGACAGTATATTGCTGGCATCTTTCAGAGTTCCAAGGATAGCAAGCACATGGACATACTATACTACAAGTTACAATTATATGCACGCTCTAGTTTTCAATGAAATAATTGGGTTTTTAAAATAAAGGTCAGGAGTTTTCAAATCCATAGTAGTCAGTCTGGTCACAAGTAAATACCTAATAAAAAAAAAAAAATAAATAAAAGGAAAAATGTGATTAACAAAACACATTAAATAAGTGGTGCTTTCACAGTCTGAAATTTGTATCAGAAAAAAAAACAGCCTACCTTTATTATTTCTTATAAATAATTAATTACTTGTAAATATTTAACTTATTTTTCCCTTAAAATGATACATTTTCTCAGTTTAAACATTTGATATGTCATCTATGTTGTATTCTGAATAAAATATCGAAATTTGAAACTTCCACATTGCATTCTATTTTTATTCACAATTTGTACAGTGTCCCAACTTTTTTGGAATCGGGTTTGTATACATTTTGTTTTAAATAATGAATAAACACATCTGTCTCCATTTATGTTCTCCTCTGTACTGATTTGATCAGTTAAGGGAAAAATTATAAAGTGATGTGACATATACTTGGAATTAGTGCTCTGTGTTTAACCCATCCAAAGTGCACACACACAGCAGTGAACACACACCCGGAGCAGTGGGCAGTCATTTATGCTGCAGTGGGGAGCAGTTGGAGTCTCAGCGCCTTGCTCAAGGGCACCTCAGTCGTGGTATTGAAGGTGGGAGAGAGTGCTATACATTCACTCCCCCCACCTACAATCCCTGCCGGTACGAGACTCGAACCCGCAACCTTTGGGTTAGGCAGACTTTACATGCAGCTTTTCTCTGATTTTGTCTTCAGCGTGTTATAAACCTAGTCTTCAAACCCAGTACACTGAGGAGAGCGAATGGACACCATTTGACTTCCTGTCTCGTTTGGTGAAAGAGTGGGAGGCGGCAGGGCAACTACCTGAAAACAACGCTAAGAAAACAAGACAAGTGATCATCAGACCAGGTGAATCTAAACAAATGTCTCACCAGAGTGCTAGATCTCACCTGCAATGTAACAAAATAAAATGTATTAAATTACATTTTAAAATTTGTTAAAATAGAAAAAAATGTATTACATTTTTTAATAATATTTCACAATGTTACTGTTTTTACTGTATTTTTGATCAAATAAATGCAGCCTTTGTGAGCATAAGAGACTCAAAAACAGAAATAAATCTTACAAACCTTTGTTACAGTAGTGTAATTATGTACTTTCTTCCACTCACCCTCAGGTGCAGTGTTAGGGCGTGACGGTGGCGCCATGAAACAGATGTTGATTCCCTTCTGGCTTGGCCTGGGTGGGACGCTTGGCTCAGGACGACAGCCCTTCCCTTGGATCCATGTGTCAGACCTTGCTGGCATCATTGCCCATGCCTTGGAGCCCAAAGAAGAGCCATCCACAGAGCCAGATGTATTTAATGGAGTTGTGCCTGCACTGAATACCAATTTTGAATTCACTAAGGAATTGGGCAGGACTCTAAAAAGGCCTACTATCTTCCCTGTGCCTGGCTTTTTCTTGGATGTCTTCCTCGGTTCTGAGAGAGCTGTCATCCTCACACAAGGCCAGAAGGTGTTACCCAAGAAAACGCTTGAGTCTGGCTTTGAGTTTCAATATCCAGATCTTACCTCTGCTTTAAAAGAAATTGTTGGATATTAGTAATCAGTCAAAACAGAGAAGAGACCTGAGGAGATTGTGATTTTTTTTTAAGCAGACAAGTGCAATATATTTCTTATAATATATCATTTTAAATTTAAACTGAGCATATAAAAAATAAAGCTTGCTTGTACTTGCTTGATTTAATGTAGATACTCAGAAATATACATTGTTCTCAGCTCCTTTGTTTGTCCCCCTTAAGAATGAGTCATATCTGTCTGTGTGTACAAAATGAGCACTTCATTTGTTAATAAATGTTTATATGAAAATGATTGTCCATCTGTGGTATATATATTCCATCATTATATAATCACAGCAGATGTTATGTCTCTCATGATTTTGAGTGGCTATATTTGACTCATCAGTCTGATCCATGGGGTCATCCTCTACATGGAACATTTACATATTTTTCTACAAAACACTACTTTTAGAACAAATGCACATCAACACATGATAAAATCTATATATGGACACAATTCACTTACACCAACTGTTTAATGTTAGATATACTCAATAAGCTTCTTAAGTGATGTATCACATTACTGACTGTTGTAAAACTGGAAATATGACCAAAATAATAATACAAACTTGCTAACCTCTAAATGAATCATGTTTATATATAGCACAAAAGTAAAAATTGGAACTGGTAGCGAAAAGTTTTACTATACAAAATCCTGTGAAAAGCCTATGAAAATACTCAAAATACTACTGGGACATTGACTTTTCTGGTGGTGTAGTTTAGTATACTCCATGTAAAAGTATTGAAAACTTTTAAAACTTGTATAATTATTATGCATGGAGCTATTAGGACATGGGATTTAAAATAATCCCAAACTAAAAACTAGCAAAGGCAAGGGGGTTTAAATTATTGTGAAAATTTTAAATGTACACCTTCTCCTATTTTTAGTTTATTCATAAAGGTGTAAGTATTATTTTAAATCATTTTTTAATGCAAGAAATTTGGTTGGCAAAGAGTCAGTTTCTGCTTGTTTCAATAGTATTTTCTTAATAAAATAGATAATTTCATGATATAATGGTTTTAAATTCCAAAATATAATTCTGAAAACATACAGCTTTCCCTTTAAATGCATATACATGTTGTATGTTTAGAAAAAAAAGGTTCAATGATACGTCATGCATAAACTACCCAATCACTGCGAAGTCATTTACATAAACACCACCCTTAACGTTCGGCTTGAGAATAGTGTGCAATATTTTAACTAAAAACCAAACAATTATCTGGGAAACGAAGCTGACATGAAATGTCTTACAAATATACGTCTTATAAATGTTTTACTTTTCGCCGCCCTACATGGCTAACCGTCATTGTAAAGAGTCGCACAGTCGCGAGGCTAAATAAAGAGGCACAGCCTACGTCATACATCAGAGCGGAAGGAAGCTCACTGTAGAGGTCACGTGCTGAGTGCTCGTCACTCGACCAATCACCTCGGGGAAGGTCTGAGACAAGAGCCAATCGCTGTCCTCACAGGACATCATCTGAACAGATGAGCGAGCGCACAGAGAGAATATGGGTTAGCGCGCGGTGTTCTCGCACGAGACGTTGAGTCCCGCGCAGTTTCAGCGGATCAACTGATGCGATCCCCGCCGACTTGGAAACACTCGCGGCTGGCGAATGAGTTCAATGTGTGAGCTAGTACAAGATACTAGAACCCAATTCAGACTACTCTCCCTCCGCTCTTTTGCTGGAGAAATTTAACGGTGAATTGATTAAGTAACATTAAACACCAATGAAAAACACATTTAACGGTTAATTGATTAAGTAACATTAAACACCAATGAGAAACACATTGATTAAAATAAACTAAGTAACTAATAATAAATGCTTTAGTTAGTTCATACTAACTAATGCAGTTAACTTGTGTTAACAAATGGAACATTATTGCAGTGTTTCCAAAAATAATGTGACCCTGGACCACAAAACCAGTCATAACTATAAATTTTTTGAAATTGAGATTTATCCAGGGTCACGTATAATTTTTGTCCTATTTAGAACTACTGTATATTAACCTTTACCAGATTTTGGGCTTTGATATTGGTGCATAAAAAGCATTGGGCTCAGTGAAATAACAAAACACAATCAGGTTGCATAGATGAACTATTGTATTTGGAAATAAACATTAACAAAATCCAACTGTTATCCACAAACACTGCATTAATAGATTATCGTAGTAGTATCGTCATCTTCTGCATGAAACATTGACAGCAGATCACCCCAGTCACTACTACGAACACATTTGTACATGTCCCTGTTAAAATAGACAATGAAAATTATTGTTAAAAAGAGGTCATTCACTGAAAATGCAAGTAGAGATCCAATAAATGAAAGCATTACTTTCCATGACAACGGGCCATTACAGCAAGCTGTTTGAGTTCACTGAACATGTCTGGGTCGGCGACGGACTTGTGAGATCAGTCTGGCCATCTCCCATGATTTTTTTTTAACACACTGGGGCAAATATAGATGGTCTCCTCAAGTCATGTTTGACCTCCTCTTCTCTCTATAGTGATAGAGCAAAAGTTTGTGAGAAATTTCTGAAAGGTGTTCTACCACTACCACTTCAAACAGTCATGTTAGCAATATTTGAGCAAAAAAATCTCAGATCAAACCTTTAGTATAGTGTCTCTGGCCTCCATAAGGATTTGATGGCCATCCTTGGCTCCATTCTCCACCAATACCTTTACAAAGTACCAAGAACTGCACTAGGAAACAGTAATTCTCCAAGAGAGTAGTGTAATTTTAGTATTAGTAATATATTATTAGTAGTATTTTTTATTTGTATATTTTCAGTTTTCATTTGAATTTTAGTTTAAGTATTTTTTTGTGCTTTCTAAATTTTTTTTTGTTTTATAGCCACTGATTTTCATAGTGTTTTTTCTATACTATAGAAGTCAGTGCCTACCAGCAACTGTAACCAACATTTTTCAAAATATCTTCTTTTGTGTTCAACTGAAAAAAGACACTTCTTGAGGGTTGAGTAAACAATGACAACATTTTCATTTTTTTGTGAACTATCCATTTAACAATAACACAGCAAGATTTTATGTATGAAAATATACTTTTAAGATCACAATCCTATAATTTAAAATATTAGTTTAATCATTAATAAATCAAGCATCATCACTCACAAGGTAGGAGTTGGTTTTTCTCCAAAGTGTGAAAATAACATTCACTCGCTCGTCCAAAGTGGCCAGTTCTGACAAAGAGAAAGCGGCTATCACAAGGTCAAACTGCACCTGCGGGGAAATTTTTTTTAAATTCAGTTTTGTAAAAGCAGTGTATAATTTGAGCAAATAAAAATTAAGTAAGGCAGCTGAAGATACCTTAGGAGAAACAGGGAGGAACTGGCGGAAATATACTTGTTTGATCACTGGATTATCCACCTCATTGCCCCCTGTTTGGTACAGATGAACATTTTTGTCTGTAGATCTATTTGTATTACACTGTGCTCATAAGTTCCACTGAATGTTCTTACCGCTAAGAAGCTGTTCTGCCAAGGTGTTCATGCCTCCAGAGCTGTCTACACAAACATACTCTTTCAGAGTCTCCCCAGAGTGTGTGTGATGCCCCCAGAATCAAATATAGTATAAATCCCCTAATCTTGAAATATGCAAGTTTAATAAATAACATAAAAAATATCAGCAGTCAGCATCCTCATATTTATAAGCCAATGTGGGTTCTTTTCACTTTATAAAGCTAAATATATTGCCATATTATATACTCACCAAGTACCTGATCCAAAGTCCAGGAGAGAATATGGCACAAACACAGGATCTCTCTTCTTAATCTGTAATGTATATTAGAAAGACTGTTTATGACCACATATAGAGAGAGAGAGAGAGTAAGAGAGAGATAAATGATTGTTAATGTGTATTAAATACTTCATTTAATGCTCTGAGGACAGCAGCATAACCACCTACAAGCCTAGCAGCCATATACACCAACCCAAGATCTTCATCGTACCTTGAAACATGCCAGCACAGCAGTGAAATCAAAGTTGAGTTATCCAGTAATACACACAAAACCTCACAGCCCCAATCTATGAAAAATGGTTCAAACCGATTATGCATTTGTACCTTAGGGGAGTCCTGCGGTATGTTGTTCTTCTCAGTTCAGATAATACTCTCTCTCTTATTCGAGCCTCTAGTTTGCGGTCAATGCCATCTAAAGGAAACATTTAATCGCTGTTTTATTTTCAGTCTTCAGTGCACAGACAGTGTGGTTGATCTCTTTATAACATCCCTCCTGCATCTTTAACCCACCTGTATGGATATCCCTCTCTTGCTCCAAAAATGTATTCTCAAGGAGGACGGCTTTCTCCCTGAGTTGAGAGGTTTCTATCACCCGTTTCCTGCTCCAAAGGAAGTTGGACAGCTTATGTGCCTTTTCACTCAGACTTTTTACATCTGCCCCTACATATCAAATAAAGGCATTTCAGAACACAGACTGATTTGAATGCTTGAAACACTAAAAATTTAGACTGGTGGATCAATGTTTACTCACTTTTTAAGTGAGTAAAGACAGATTGTGCTGCTACCTGCAGTTGCTCTTTTTAAGACAGATTGTGCTGCTACCTGCAGTTGCTCCGGCAGGCGCACAGTTTTGAGGTTTGTCACACCTGGGTGCTTTCTATGAGGACCACCTTTCAAAATGTCGTCCTGTTCCAGATGTGCCGCAGAACTCTGACACATTAAAAACAGTAAGACAGAATGTACATTTTACAATAACTCAAGTCAACATACAAACAACATTTGCGACCAATTTCTCTTCCATAATGTGACATATTTATGACCGAAATAGAAAAAAATTGCATTATTTATTGCCAGGTGATTGGAGGGCAGTTTTATTTTAGTATCACTGATAAGTTATTACAGTTTTCCATTATTTATTCCATTATTGTTTTAGTTATTTAGTACATTGAGTTAGAGTACCAAATTTCACTGAGAACTAAATGTCCTTGGCAACTAGCAGAAATAAAATAAGATTGATGAGTCTCTGCTGAACTAAAGGGGTGCTTCCCAGTCAGGGCATTTATTAACCGCCTTATCAGAATGGATGAAATCATGAAGGTCCACCCCTAACCCCATCCCAAAAACCTAGCCAGTGGGTGAGAGCAAATTTGGATAAAGCAGTTGCTCAAAGATTAGGGAATGCCCTTATTTTTTTATGAATGTAAATAGAGTGCTGCAGCACTCTATAAGGTCCATTTTGATTTCATGTATAGAGTTATTTAAATATAAATGTTAGAGACTATCCAAAATGTGATACTGATTAATTAAAGAATAATCACTATTATTAACAATAAACTGAATAAACAGTATCAACAGCATAGACTGTATAAAAACGATCAACAGTATAAAAAAATCACAAGCATGCCAGCACAGCAGTGAAATCAAAGTTGAGTTATCCAGTAATACACACAAAACCTCACAGCCCCAATCTATGAAAAATGGTTCAAACCGATTATGCATTTGTACCTTAGGGGAGTCCTGCGGTATGTTGTTCTTCTCAGTTCAGATAATACTCTCTCTCTTATTCGAGCCTCTAGTTTGCGGTCAATGCCATCTAAAGGAAACATAGAAATCAAAGTTGAGTTATCCAGTAATACACACAAAACCTCACAGCCCCAATCTATGAAAAATGGTTCAAACCATTTGTACCTTAGGGGAGTCCTGCGGTATGATGTTCTTCTCAGTTCAGATAATACTCTCTCTCTTATTCGAGCCTCTAGTTTGCGGTCAATGCCATCTAAAGGAAACATTTAATCGCTGTTTTATTTTCAGTCTTCAGTGCACAGACAGTGTGGTTGATCTCTTTATAACATCCCTCCTGCATCTTTAACCCAACAGTATAAAAAAATCACAAGTTTGGCCAATCACTGCGCAGCAATTAACATGTTCTAGTTCTCCGATTATTATACAACACATTTCGACAAAAAAACTTCTTCTTTCTCAATGAATACTTTTAGTAGGCCAAAAAGGGAATTTTATTTAAAAAATTTATTAACAAATGTAACAAATTATTAGGTCCCTCACCGTCGTCTAAACGAATAGCTTGGCTTCAGCGTTATATAGCGTATGACACTTAACACATGACTCCAGAGCGGAAGGAAGCTCACTGTAGAGGTCACATGCTGAGTGCTCGTCACTCGACCAATCACCTCGGGGAAGGTCTGAGACAAGAGCCAATCGCTGTCCTCACAGGACATCATCTGAACAGATGAGCGAGCGCACAGAGAATATGGGTTAGCGCGCGGTGTTCTCGCACGAGACGTTGAGTCCCGCGCAGTTTCAGCGGATCAACTGATGCGATCCCCGCCGACTTGGAAACACTCGCGGCTGGCGAATGAGTTCAATGTGTGAGCTAGTACAAGATACTAGAACCCAATTCAGACTACTCTCCCTCCGCTCTTTTGCGCTAATATCTTTAGAATTTTGCTAATTAAGACATATTATATTGATATGATACAAGAAATATGACAGATATACTCACCCGTATATGCGCGTCCTTTAAACATAAAGCCACGTGGCATTTTGTACATTTAACATACATTCGGCTGCCTAGCAAATACATGTTTATTCACGATTATCAAAACCAACAACAAATTAGATATTTGATTAAATTAACACTGGTTACAGTCACCAGTCACTGTATGGTCGCATGCTCATGTGGTCGTCGGCAATATGACTTCAAAATAAATCCGTCTAGAAACGAGCTCAATGCTCAATTCGTTCCCAGACAAAAGGTCCGCGCTAATATACTTTTCGCGCCATTCGCGAGATTACACCGAAGTAGAGATCTTAAATCTTAGGTAGGTGCAGAAAACCATTTAAATCATGTGATTATTTAAATTTTAATGTATATTATGTTGTAACATTTCTCTAAAGTTGTTTTGACGCAATATCCATGGTTATGGGATGAGGAGGAGGAAGTAGATAGAAACTCAAATGATATGAGTCATCATATATTCATTCACCACGTTTCTGGATAACTCCGTTTATGTAATACTTGCGTAATACGTAAACCGTCGGTGCAAGAAACGTTTCTTTCATTTCAGCTGTTTTGTGGAAAGCATGCGACGAACAAGAAGTTGCCGGGGCAAGTCTGTGGCAGATTCAAGCAGTGAAGCTTCAGAGGCGAAGACGGGTATGAATTCACTTTCAGTGAACATGCCAAAACAGCTCAAAGTTTCATAACCAGCATTTACAGTATGTTAGTCAAGCACTGAAAACTGTTAATATTGCACATTCACACCAATTGCTTTTTCAAGTAAATATGTGTAAATCCACAGCCACACCAATTTGATCGTGTTTAATCTCTAAATCACTTTGATTGTATAGGTGTGACACTGTTTTAGTTTTAGATATTCATATTTCACTTAATGATTACTGAATATTTCATTCTTTTCAGTTTGGCAGTGGAAGGGGGACGATGGTGAGTGGGAACCGTATCCTCCAGAGGTCTGTGTCCAGCTGGATACAGCAAAGCAGGCCGGTGAAAAGTCGGTGTCACTGGAGATCGGACCTGGTTATGAGGTGGATCTTGTGAAAATGACTCAGACTAATACTGTCACCAAGTACAAACGAAAAATACGCCTTCAGAAAGTGAAGTCAGGTATGTCTGTGTGTACCTGTGTCTGATGTTGCATCAGTATCTGTCACAGAAATCTAATAGCTGCTTATTTATTGCACTGCAGAAGATGCAAATGAAGGGGATGCTTTGAATGGCAAAAATGGAGCTGCAGGTGTTGTTCAGGTTAAAGAAGAGAAAGAAGAGGAAGAGGAGCAACCGGTTTCTAAGAAGAGACGCAAAGAAGGGAAAAGTCAGAGAGCGAACAAAGCCAAGCCCGTTGTAAAAGAAGAGAGTAAAGGTGATGCTTCTTTGATGGATGAACTTCCTTTGACTTTTCTTTTTGTCTGATGTTACCAATCCCTCTTAGTTTTCAACCCCTCTCCTTCAATCACCTGTCAAATTGAGACCACTTTCCACAATCCATTCAATTCCCATTGGACAGAATTTGTCCTGTCCTACATTTTTTTTATATATTGATTGAATATCTTTCACTCTCAAATACATCACATTACATAAGTTTCAGATTGACTTTAACTGTTGTTTTGTTTTTTTCCCCTCATGTTCTGAAGAAGAGGTTGTGAAGATGGTCATTATGAAAGGAAAAGCCCCGGTTGATCCAGAATGCAAGGCTAAAATTGGAAAGGCAATTACCTTAAATGCATCATAGGTTCATGTGAAGTGAAATTACTGTACAACATTTGACTATTGTGCAATCACCTTTAAAACTTTTACAACATCCCTATTCTTCAAGATATAGACTTCAGTGCATTCTTCTCATTATATTTCTTATTTTTGATTATTTACAGGCCCACGTCTACAGCGAGGGGGCTGATGTATATGATGTAATGCTGAATCAGGTGAGTACTGAAGATATAACATTACTGTTCAAAAGTTTGGGGTCGATAAGATTTTCTTTGTGTAAGTCTCCTATGCTTACCAAGGTTGCATTTATTTGATCAAAAACAAAAACAGTAATATTGTGAAATATAATTTAAAAGTAATTATCTTATTTTCAACAGCCATTACTCCAGTCTTCAGTGTCACATGATCATTCAGAAATCGTTCTAATATGCTGATTTGGTGCTCAAGAATAAGTGCTTTTGTAAAATTATAAATGGCTTAAACTGTAAATTCTAATCAGTGTAATGCTTCCTTGCTGAATAAACGCCTTTCATTCTACAAATAAAAATGTCATTCTTACTTTAAAAAAAACAACAACATATTGATCCTAAACTTGTGAATGTTTGTGTATATGAAAACAATATGCAGCGTATGACATTGTGTGATATCCTTTTCTTTGGCTTTTAACTGTTACAGACTAATCTTCAGTTCAACAACAATAAATATTACCTGATTCAGCTTCTTCAGGATGACAATGGAAAAACTTACAGCATTTGGATGAGGTGGGGACGAGGTGTGTACCGAAACACGTCAGATGCTCTTCACCAGGCTGGCCTTTATTATCATTACACATTATCATCCATGTTCTTGTTGTGTTTTTCTCTTCAGTGGGTAAAGTAGGACAAAACAGCTTGGTTAACTGTGGGGGGAATCTTGCTCAGGCCAAAGACTCCTTCAAAAAGAAGTACATTTTTTAAAATTAATCAATGTTATTTACTCATATAAGATATAAGAAAGATTTAGCTTATTATTTGCTTATATGCAGATTCTTTGACAAGACCAAGAATGAGTGGGAGCATCGAGCAAATTTTGAGAAAGTTGCAGGAAAATATGACATGGTATTCGTAGACTACAGCACTGAAGACAAGGTAAAAAGTCCTCAATACCACATGATCCATTGCTCTGCATTACATTTGTTTCATTCCTCATTGTAGTAATTTTTCCTCTCATCAGGAGAAGGACAAGGCTGTGGTATCCTCTCCTCCTGAAATAAAGCCCTGCCAGCTGAACAGCAAGGTCCAGTCTCTCCTAGAGCTTATATGTGACCTCAAAGCCATGGAAGAGTGTGTGCTAGAAATGAAGTTTGACACCAAAAAAGCCCCACTCGGTGAGTGTGTGTGCATTTGTGTACCAAACTGATGGAATGAATCTTGTATATTCTTAGTGATGATGAATGCATTCAAGCTAAACAACACAAACATTTTTATATGATAAAATTGCAAATGAAAACCATTAAATTATTTTGTTTTTTGCTAAAGGAAAACTAACAACAGAGCAAATTCGAGCAGGCTATGCCTCTTTGAAGAGGATCGAGGAGTGTTTAAAGAAAAAGAAGAGTAATAAGGAACTCTTGGATGCATGCAACCAGTTTTACACTCGCATCCCCCATGACTTTGGGTAAGTTAGACTACCATTCAAAGGCTTTGAGTCAGGTAAATTAAATAATTAATTAATACTTTTATTTAGCAAGGATACATCAATTGATCAAAAGTGACAGTCAAGACTTTATAATGTTAAAATGTTTTCAAATAAATCCTGTTCTTTTAAAGACTGGAGAAATGGCTGCTAAAAATTCAGCTTTTTCATCACAGGAATAAATGACAAGTATATTAAAATAGAAAACATTATTTTAAATTGTAATAACATTTCATAATATTGCTGCTTTTTGATCAAATTAATGCAAACTTGGCAATCATGAGAGACCTTTTTCAAACACACACACACAAATCTTCCCGAGGCTACATTTTTTAACAATAGTGTGGCTAATATGGCTTAATGACTCAGATTTTTTTATTCACTTTGTATATGTGTGTTTATGTTTGTTCCTGACTACTTGATGTTCATTCAGGTTGCGGACACCCCCCATAATACGCACAGAGGATGAGCTAAAGGAGAAAATTGTTTTGCTTGAGGTGCGACATTGTAATTGGTGCTCAATATTGCTGATGTTGAATGGTTAGAATTGATTGACAGTTTATATTTCACTGCATTCACATGTTTATAGTCATGTTTTTTGTCTTTTAGGCTTTAAGTGACATCCAGATAGCAGTGAAAATGGTTCAGTCTAGTATTCAGAATGATGAGCATCCTTTGGACAGACAGTATCAGTCTCTACAATGTCGACTGCAGCCACTGGATTCTAACAACAATGAATACAAGGTACAGTGTGGGACTTAACTCTTTTATGGCTGAAGTACAATATAATTTTAATAGTAGAATTTTGGATGGTGGATGTTTACTTAGTCTGTTTAAATATGCAGTTTTAGACACAAACTCTCTGTCTTTGTGAAGGTTGTAGAGAAATATCTTCAGTCCACTCATGCACCCACCCATTCTGACTACACAATGACCATTCTGGACATCTTTGCTGTGGAGAAAGAGGGCGAGAAGGACAACTTCTGCTCTGAGATGGAAAACAAGTACCAAACCACCTTCCTCAATTATACTTCATCAATTATGTTATGCTCTATGTAAACAGGAACTCCCTTAAATTCTGGTCTAGTGTGTGCCTCATCTGATTTCACTGAATTACAGCAATCATATTTCAGATAGTACACTTTGTTTTTGTTGTTGTGGATGCTAGAATGCTCCTGTGGCATGGTTCCCGTCTGTTGAACTGGGTGGGGATCCTGAGTCAGGGGCTGCGAGTGGCCCCTCCAGAGGCTCCAGTGACCGGATACATGGTGAGACGCAGAGATATACTGAATCATACAAATAATATCAATATAATATTGGCTCCCACCATTACAACATACTTTTTAAAAGCAATGGACCACAACAATTCAAACCAATATAATTTTGTAACTTTTCCTCCCCCTCAAGTTTGGTAAGGGGATCTACTTTGCAGACATGTCATCTAAAAGTGCTAATTACTGCTTTGCCAATCAGAAGAACAACCAAGGACTCTTGTTGCTGAGCGAGGTTGGTTTTTTTGTATCTAAACATCAAAAGATCTGCTCCCACTTCCAGAATATTTTTGTGGAAACTGATACTTTTTTCAGGATACTTTGATGAATAGAATGTTGGATACATAGAAAAGGACAGCATTCATTTAGGGAGTATATTTGAGTAAAAACTGCTACAGTGATATAACACTTATTTTTAAAAGATAT